TTAGATAATTTATGCATATTTAAATTTAAGTGACTATTATTTATGATGATTCAAATTAACTTGAGCCACACTAGAAATTATATATCCTTTATTCATACATGTTTCATGAGGGCATTGTCATTTAAGTTGGGGTAGGTTCGTTTCGCTTCATTTCGTTTTCCAGGAAAGCCAGGAAGCAGAGACAGATGGGCCATTTTTGTAATGCCGAGCATGATGAAAAACCATAGCATTTGAGGGTACCTTATTTTCAGGGAAACCCGTATAAAGATCCCTACCCTCTTAAAAATGGAATTTGAGGGGGGAGTCGTACTGAAATTTCATTTTAAAATTCAATTTTTGCAATCATGTTTTCTCAATAATCAATGTTCCTCATCATTCCATGTCATTGGCAAGCAGGTGAAAATTAAATACTTGCGCTTAGCTCCGGAGGAGCTAAGCACATGTCAGACTGAAGCAACGCATGTGTAGGGATGGCATCCCTCCAAAAAGTTGCGCTGCCGTGATCATACAGGAGCTAAGCGCACGTATTTTCTAACCAGTGCCCAAGGCTTGTTAAGAAATGTTACTTTACAATTCCATTCGAGGGGTTAAATCACTATCCCAGGGTTTCCAAGCAAAAAAAAGTGGAATTCGACAGGTTGGTTTTGTCCCCCCGCCCTCCCCCTCTATAGGGGTAGGGATGTATAAAGCAGACACAAATGATGACCCGCATTACATAGACTTGCTCCTTTGAGCCTGTGCAAAAGCAAATCTGAGTTTTTGCGTGCATTAAGTCATGGAGTATGGCAAAAAACATAGAAAAACTATTTCTTGGCAAGTTGCTCAGGAAATCTTAGTAATTATATGTAATTACTGTAGAGTTAGTATATTTGTTGTGGACGAAGCTTCCAAGTCAGCTTGTGGCGCCTGTGCTTCGACAAGCCAGCATCCTGTTGTGCATTGGCGTATTTGTTCTTGGGTTGCCAGATTTGAAGCAGGGTGAGGCCGAGAGGCCGCAAGAAGCATCGAAATTGTTGTCGCCCCATTTTAGAGTAGCCAGTTTGGGTGACTTAATGCGAATCTCTGTGTTGGTGACTCAGCACGCATTCGATGTTATTTGAAGGGCTACCACTCCTCCCTCTGACTACCTGGGGGCAGTGGCAAGGGGTTGGAATACGAGTGCGTGGGATCTCGTTTTGCGGGGGCTTGGGTCGGGCGCAATAATTTTAATCAAATTAATTTATATATTTATAATTTATGGTGGCTTTCTGGAAAAAGAAATAATATTGAATTAACATAACTATGAAATATTATGAAATATTTATTAATTAAGATTTTTTTATAATTATATATAATGTATAGATATTAATATAAAAATAAATGGGAAATTAATAATTAATATTATTAATAATTACGAAATAAAAATAATATAATACTTTCCACTTGGAAACTCAATGCGTTTACATGTTTTGCTGCGTTTAGTTGGAGGGAAAGAATTGTGGAAATCGATGCGTGCTGCGTTTAGCTTGTGTTTGGAAAACATAATTTTGATTATTGATATTTTTACCTGCGTTCTTGTAGGTTCGGAATTTTCCTAATGTATTAGTTTTATTGGGAATTGGATTGTGTTGGGTATTTCCCTTTTGAAATTTGAGATGTGGTTGTGTTATGTTGTGTTGAAATGATGAGGGGGATTGGTGGCGAGTTTTTTTTTATTATTTTAGGATGTCGCCGGGGTATCGTTAGAGTATTGCCGGAAATACGTGAGTTGTTTTGCCTTGTTTTGTTTTGTTGCTGCTACTGCTGCTACTGCTGCTACTGCTGCTGGTTCTACTGGTCCTGCTGCTGCTGTTGCTGCTGCTTACCTTCCCACTACCGAGCTGCGTGCGCTGCAAGGGGCACACGCAGCAGTCGTCACTGGCCGGGCGATCGGGGTGACAACAGCCTACGTACTTGAGGCCAACGGCCAACGCTCGCCTTGTCGAGCATTATTTAGACTGTATCCGTCCTTGTACCTATATCTTTGGTTGGTCGCTTTACTTTGACTATAATTGTGATAAAATTTGTGTTCTATGGTGGTTTTTAACAAAATTATTTAAAATAACCTAAAACAACGATTATATAGATTTGGCGTCCATAATATGATTCCTAATTTTAGACCCATAGAAAACACCGAAAATTAAACAAAATAGATAATTGCTGGTATACAGCGTCTTATGCTAATTTACATTAAATTGCATTGACTTCTTTGACTTTCCGAGTGCGCGACGTCCCATGGAGATTTGTATTTCAAAGAGGCGGTGTACTGACTTTCCCGATTGGATATATTATAATATATTATAATATTTATATATTATAAATATATTTTAAATATATTATTTTTATTTTTAATATATATATATATATATATGTTAATTTTTGTTTTTCCTCCTTCTCCCCCTCCTTTATGGGATGGGTTTTATATACTGACCCCATATGAGTTTTTTTTCCTTTCCCCCTGTGGTGTGGTGGGGGTGTGGTATGTTATGTTGGGTATGTATGGTGTGTATGGTTGGTTTGATATGGTATGTTTGGAAAATATGGTATATTTGGTATATATGGTAGGAATGGTATGTATGGTATGAATGGTTGGTATTGTATGGATGGTAGGTTTGGTATGTAAATTTGTTGGGTATGGTATATTTGGTATAATAATATGTATGGTTTATATAATATATATATATATATTACTACTAATATTACGATCTAGCCTGACCCAGAGCGCGTGCGCGCAGTTTCTCGAGGCCAATTTTCCCAAAAATCTGCTACTTTTTTGGGAAAATTGGCGAATGCAAACTTAGCCTGCGCGAATACAAACTAAGTCTGTGCTTCTTCCTGAGCCCCCTGCGCGGGGAGGTCGAAATTTTACTACTATTTTGGGAAAAATTCTCTTCTCCCCAGTCAGTGTCCCACTAAGCAAATGCAGTACGGTCGGTCAGGGTCGGTCGGGGGTTCGATTCCCCCCTGGTCCAGTGTCGCTCGGTATTCAGTTGTGTTTGAGCATGTGTCTTCTGAGTTTCCCCCGTAGGTCTCTCATGGATCAGTTGAGCTTTCGTTTTACGTTTCCGTTCTTTGCATGTACCGCATGCGTCTATCACTCTTTTGAGTGCACTTTCGGCCCCACTGTCGCTCGGTCGATCTCTCCTGCATCAGTTGCGCTTTCGTTTTACGTTTCCGTTCTTCTGAATGTACCGCATGCGTCTATCACTCTTTTGAGTGCACTTTTGGCCCCACTGTCGCTCGGTCGGTCTTTCAGTTCCATTCGAAAAAGGGTCTTCTGGGAGCTTTGGTTTTGCGTCCACTGTCGCTCGGTAGGTCTCTCATGGATCTGTTGTTGTTGTTGTTGTTGTTGTTGTTGTTGTTGTTGTTGTTGTTGTTGTTGTTGTTGTTGTTGTTGTTGTTGTTGTTGTTGGTGTTGTTGTTGGTGTTGGTGTTGGTGTTGGTGTTGGTGTTGGTGTTGTTGGTGTTGGTGTTGCTGTTGTTGCTGTTGTTGCTGTTGTTGCTGTTGTTGCTGTTGTTGCTGTTGTTGCTGTTGTTGTTGTTGCTGTTGTTGTTGTTGTTGCTGTTGTTGTTGTTGTTGGTGTTGTTGTTGTTGTTGTTGTTGTTGTTGTTGCTGTTGTTGTTGTTGTTGTTGGTGTTGGTGTTGGTGTTGGCGTTGGCGTTGGTGTTTGCGTTTGCGTTGGTGTTTGCGTTTGCGTTGGTGTTGGTGTTGGTGTTGTTGTTGTTGTTGTTGTTGTTCTTGTTGGTGTTGTTGTTCTGGTTGTTGTTCTGGTTGTTGTTCTGGTTGTTGTTTTGGTTGTTGTTCTGGTTGTTGTTCTGGTTGTTGTTCTGGTTGTTGTTTTGGTTGTTGTTCTGGTTGTTGTTTTGTTATTCTTTTGTTGTTGTTTTGTTGTTATTTTGTTGTTGTTGCTGTTGTTATTGTTGTTGTTGTTGTTTGTTGTTGTTTGTTGTTGTTCGTTGTTGTTGTTTGTTGTTGTTGTTGTTGTTGTTTATTGTTGATTATTATTTTTGATGGTGGTATTGCTGTTATTTTTTAATTTTAATTATTTATTATTTATATTTTTTTATTTGAATTTCTTATATAAAATGGGTGGCCTTAAGGTTGCTATATATAAGGTTGCTTCCTGCAACACCTTGCATTCGCAAACACAGCGCATCCGGCCCAGAATCGAGTGAACGGTCTTGCTGGGAAGAGTCCATCCCTGGTTCTTTGTTGTCAGAGAGTCGTGCCTATAGTACCCCAAAACGCGCATTAAACTAGCATCAACCATATGAGCAAGCCGTAAGGTGACTGGGCTGGGAGACTTTGGGTTAAACCTCGTTAAACCAATGACATGGGGGGAGCCATGCGGAGTTGAGACCCGAATGACTTCCAGAGTTGACCCCCCAGGAGCATCTTCTATCTCGGCTGCAGCATGTCGTTGATGTAGCTCCAGTGACCGTCCAGGCACGACTGCCAATGTTAACGCGGAGATGTAAACAGCCTGGCACAAATAACACAATGACATAGTGCATTCAAATCAAATCACTTATATATACGTATATATATATAATTATATAATAAGTTAATGATCAATGTCTGTTGAAACATGTTGAATTCCTGTTCTACTTTGGATACTTTGCGGATCACAGCTTCGATGAACCCATTTCGATGGTTTCCCCTGGCGAGACAAACCGTTCGGGTCCATGATGTCGGATTTCGTGGATCCCTGTTGACTGGCCCATGAAACATGTCAAGGTCTATACCCAGTGTCAACAGTTTGTTTGTCCCAGGAACTTATGATGACATGGTTGGATGGGGGTGAAGTCATCAAATTTCACCCATTCAGCCATTCAAAAGTTATATATATATATATTCACTTTCTTTCCGGTCACCAGAGTGCTTAAAGTTGTGATTCCAATAGGATGTCCGGTAGGACCTGAGGTCCAAACTTTGGGGATATTCGGTTCTAACCCCTTTTACAACCTTATACAACTTATAT